TAATCTCCATAAAAAATTGTCGGAAGATTTCAAGTTTTTACAAGTTTTAATGTAAAAAAAGCAGACCTATTTACCCTGTTATTTGCTTTGTTTACAACACGTTTTTCTTTCGGGGCTTTAGTAGGTACGTACCTTCCCTTCAGATGCCTTCTTTTGGTAATTGTGCATTTTAAATTTTCTGGTAGTATAAGAGGTGAAATAAGTTTTTGTGTTCTTTTGCTCGATTGTGAGATTCAAAAAGCACGCACTCTGAGTGCGTTACAGTATCATTTAGATATATCCTAAAGGAGGAGTCATGCAAAAAGAAAATTTTCCTTCACAGATTCTATAAAACTAGTTTAATTCGTTATTTTCTTCAATTATAGTAAATTGTGCGGAGTATATTTAAGCGTGATTAGAACAGGGCTATGGTCAGAAGAGAATTCCAACTACAATACAGAAATTGAAGCATAAATGTTCTTCATCAAGGCAATATCGAGCCATTGGTTGAGCAATTTGTGGTATTATGAGACGAGTAGAATTCCTTTTTCTTATGCATGGTTTCCTAGAACGATCCCATTTGGATTCGTGCAAGTACGATTCCCAAATAGATGTTTGCAGTTGGATTCTCCGCCAACAGTTATTGTTTAAGCGAGCCAGAAAATATTGTACCAATAATTCTCCCTTTTAATCTTTAATCGGGAGTTTATAGATGGAGAGCATGGTAGCCATACCGTTCTTGTTGAATTTCAATTCAATTTCTATAGCCTCAAGACCGTAAAGTTTTTTTTATTCGAGAGAAAAGTGCAGGATGTGGTTTTTTGTAAACGAGGCCACTCCGCCATGTCCAGAATCAGACCAATCCCTTCTTTAAAATCTGGGGATTATAGTTCTAATTTTTTAAAATTTCGTTGATGGATTCTGCAATACGGGCACTTAATTCTAGTTTATAAGGAAACAAAAATGCACATCATTTCAATGACAGAGTTTGAGCCGATAACAAGGCTGTAGTGGACAACGTCGACATCACTGTGCAAATGATATTTTATACAACGAGTAATGTCCCTCGCTGCACTTAGCGCACTTTGCAAAAAAAATATTAAGGAAACTTTTGACTTTGTATACTCTGGTAATTTTATTGCACTTATTTCTGAGTCGAGTAACGTTTCCGTTCTGTGCCCTTTGCTTAAAGTGTTGACAGCGAGGACACTGCCCCATAAGGTTATATATATATTATGAGTTGGCGTCCTACAGTCAAGAATATACGTCCTCGTTCCCATTGTAAGAAAGAGTCGAAGAGTAAACTCCAGTAGTAAGGAAAGTTAACCTTTAACAGTCTTCTAGTATAGAGCACATTAGTTGCATTTTTTTATTTAATACATTAAAATTTATTTGTTATTATTTTTATTAAAATTATAATGGCTATAATATTATAAATGTTATTACTATTATTATTAATATCAATACCATTATTATCACTACTAATTATTGGCGGTAGTAGAGGAGAAAGTATAACCAAAGTATTCAGTATGTCAGTTAAATAGGATAGGGCCCACCAGGGTTTTTGTCTCCTATATTTGGTAAACTACCGAGGGCCGTAGGTTATTATCGTAGATAGCAATTTGTTTGAGTGAGTGCTGATCTACACAAATCATTTTTCTGCGTTGTTTTTAATAAAAAACCGTGATAAATTCAAACTTACAGTTTTCGTGCGGAAGCAAGTTCTTTATATACCAAGGGCGTTGGTACACAGTCGAAGAAAATTATCTTGTAGGGCTTTTGGCCTATTTAAGCGTTTCATAGAGGATTAGATCCAAGCGGAAGACGCATACATAAGTATAGGTCTTAACAAGCATTTATATAGAAGTAGCTTATTACTAAGATTTAACTTGCTCTTTTTGTATAGGAGGGGGTATAAAAGATATCTAGTAGTTCAAAATTTTTTAGTTAAGTAGTCCCGGTGGGTGTCCCACTTGAACCTGTAGTCAATAATTACACCTAAAAACTTAGCCAGCGGGCACCAGAGGAGATCTTTATCAAAGAATTGTAAGATAAGTTTAAGATTACTAGATGAGAATCAGCTTTCAAGAAGTTCCAAGTAAAATTGCATATATTTGATAGCCTACGTGACTGATTAAGAACTTGTAGAGATTGCAGTGTCGTCAGTATACTGAGCGAGGCAAACAGTGTTGACTGTTAGGATACCAGAAGTGAGGATAACAAACAGAACAAGGGAAGGGAATCTTGTAAGGCGCCTTCAGAAAGAGAGTACAAACTAGAAGTTGAGGTTTCTATCTGGAGACTAAATTTCCTATCTTTTGAAAACAATTCTATTAATTAAAAACAAAAAAAATTACTCATTATATCATTGACTGAGTTCGAGCCTTTTAAATCTACCATTAAGCCCGGTATTCCTTAATGCATTCCGATATCAGCGACTTGGGAATATGAAATATCTGGTTGGACTTTGTCTTACCTTTTCTTCGCTTCTTTATGAAGCGGTACAATCAAACGGCGATTTGCGCAACACGGACTTAAAGAGTTGTGTTTACCGTAAAGTTTAAAGTCGTAAGTGTCACCACATTTTACACATTTGAATTCTGATGTGCCCATATAGTTGGTATCGGAAACATTGGCTAATTTGGTCACTATATTTTTAAGAATTCTCGTGAAACTGAAATGCGACCAATTTTTTTAGGTTATAGATGGCAGTCTCGGTTTTAGACAATTTTATAAGAGCTAATAGTGAAGGATTTTTGTTTTTGTAACGTGGCATGCTAATTACCTCTTTGGATAACATTGAGACTCCAACTCAGTCTTGAATACATCACTGCTCAATTCAGTGAGAACACCCCGAATCACAACTTTAAAACCCTTATCCTCAGGGAGTTGATAAACGTATTCATATTCGTCTGAGTCCAAGGCAGCAGTGAACCTGGAAAAGCCATTTGTAGGTGAGATTAGTATACGTATGCCATGTCTGACATCTTTAGCACTTTCAAATTTACAACACCATCTCATTATTCTTTATTTCGGATTGTAATAGGGGGAATTATTCCATTAATAATATTATTGTTGTTATCATCCTTGTTATTAGCACTGGTAGATTATTTTTACTGTTATTATTAAGATCGTTATAATGTTAATTTTATTAGTCTTAGTATTAATATTGTTTTGATGTTATTATAATTACTAATATAACTGTCGTCAGCGCTTGTATTTTTTCCTCTCATTATTAGTGCTGTATTTTCGGTCACCATTAATACTGTTATTTGGTAGTCGTTACCTATAGTATTGCAGCCCTTATTTACGTCGTCTTTAAGTATCTCATATGGATTCCGTGGCCAAGTACTAGCCCAACGGGTGTATTAGGGGATTAGATAGTTTTTCTTCTCCTACAAGTACCCTCATCAGCTTAAGTTTTTCATAGGTGTTTATTTTCTAATAAGCTTCTTCAAGTTTTTTTTGTGAATTTTGAAGTTGTTTTCTAATTTCTTAACCGAAATAATGTTTTTTTACAAACCCGGGGGTGTATCTCCTTGTTAGAGAAGCTGATATATATTTTATTGAATGGTAATGTTTTGCGGTGCCATAATCCCTTTAAAAATAATTATACAGATTTTATACTTAATAGTTTATATACCATGCTTTAGTCACTAACCAAATTAGTGCTAGTCTTGAGAATTATAAAGCTCGCCAAATTTTTGATTACAAATATATTATGAAAATGTCGAGAGCATAGAGTAATTTTTCGAAAAAAAATTGGATCCTTTTCAATTTTTAGGTTTTGTACTCAATTTTATGACCTCTCAGTGCGAAAATAAACATGTTACATTGAAAAATTAGTTATATAGGTACTTAAACTTAAGTTCTTGTATCGAAATTTGCCATCTATGTTAGAAAAAATAAAACTATTATATTAAAATAGACAAGATCACATTATTTATCTGTAATATTTAAGCAATGAAAAAGCGACTACGAGAGAAGCATAAAGTGGGCGGTTAACTTGGCCATTTAGCGATTAAAACAAAGCTACTATCTTAATAGTAGCCAAAGCGCAAGAACTTACCTGGTTAATATTAGGCAGCTGCTCGGCACCAAAGTTTACAAAAGTGTTAAGTAATATACACTCTGCGTTTATTTTATAGATTTAAAAATTTAGTATTATGTGCTTTTTAACAAATAAAATATTGTTTCTGGTTGTGTGTATTTCACTTGCTATATTCAATTAATTAATATTTATCTTGTAACAGATCAATGATACTGAAGATTACGAGAAACCTTATATTTTTATAATGTAACACATTAGAATAATATTATAGTAAAAGCTAGGGTAGTCGTCAGTCACTTTAACATTTTGGTTTGTGAATTATACCGAAAAAGTTTAACTAAGATTTTATAAATAATTAAATTTTTTAAACTAAAAAGCCTTTTTATAGATATAAAAGGTAAAAAATGGTAATCTTAGTAAAGTACTTAATATAGACTTTTAACGATCTCTGCCCTAATCAACAAATACAAAATACCTTTTAAATCAGTTAATTACTATTGACTCTAAGAAAGTTTTTTATAATATGTGAAGTAAAAATTATAATTTTTCTCTATATAAAGGTACTATTAGTCGTAATTAACATTAATAAACTTGTAATTATAGAAACTATTAATAGAATTTCACAATGAAATTTAGATATATATTTATTGAGTGCCTCTTCCTTGTTTATCAGTTTTCGTTTTCAATTAAAGTAGAGTCCCAAGTTGCTCTTAACCTCTCTGTAATAGAAAATTTTACTACGCCAAAAAAATCATTGTACAACCCTATTCCCGCGCGTCCTAAACAAAAAATTGAAAAGTTCATGCTTTTGAGAGGTAATATAATAAATTTAACTAAGTTAAATATTGTATCTCCCAAAAACCAAAAACTGAAACCATTAAAGGTACTTCAAAGTAAATATACAAAGCTTAAAATAAGAAAAAATAAGAGGTTAAAAAGAGATTTTATAGAACGTTCCGCATTTTATGAAAATCGTAGTGCACAAAAATATCATGACTTGACTGCAAAGCTTCAATCGAGCACTCAATCAGGAAATATAGATGAACCTAAAAGAGATATAATGAAGTTAAATTCTTCAAAATTGCCAGTAAATGATCCCCAAATTGCTTCAGAAAATGAAAACTCGCTTAATTCCAAAAAAAAGGCGAAAAAACAAGTTCTTACAATGCCTTTAAATAAAGATCTAGGGATCGATGTAACAAAAATGAATGAGACTAAATACAAGGCGAATTCTTCATCAACAAACCAAAGCCAAAAGGTCTTGCTGGCCGGTAACCTGTATAACCTTACGAAGGTCAATAATAACCCTCTTCTCCTACAGTCGGATAATTTTATTACCGATATTAAAAAATTAAGAAAAAAGGTTATATCACTTAATAACTCCAGCTTTGAAGATTTAAAAAGCTCACAACATAAGGAAAACATAACAAATCTTACGTCGACTTCTTCAGTTAAGCTTACTAATGTGACCGATAAAAAACTATTTAGAGAGCCTTCGACAATAAACTTGGAGCCAACTGCAACTTTTTACACAAAATCAAATACTACTGGGAATGTAGAGCTTAAAGCAATGGAGACCACCAAAGTTAGTACTGAACGTAAGGAGACTCTAATAACAACCGCAAGTGTAGCAGGGTTTTTAACGCTGTCGGCGGTAGTACTCACAGGCGCTTTCTATTATAAAAAAAGGAAGGATAGAATGGACTTGATTAAATCTTACGATAGCTTGTTTGATGATAATGATAAGGGAGATCTATTTATTGAGGAAGACTAACCAATATAATTACTTACATGCAACCTCGGGTAAAACGAGCGAAAGTGTGTCATTTATATTAAATCTTGTCAGTATTTTTTTTAGCAATAAAGTTATTTACGTTATTAACACAAAGAATTTATGGAGTTGCAGGCCAAGAGGGCTCTCTAACTCAATAAAAACAACTCGAACATGCACGTTGAGATAACAGACCATGGGAAGGCATGCTCTTAATAAGATGTTACTTTAAGCTTGCACTGTTGCGTATCGCAGCATTTGTTCAATACCACCTAAGAACTTTATTTTATAATTTCAAATATAGGAAAGTGGCTATTAAACGCCCTCCTCTGACTCTTCATCCGTCTCTTCCAAACTATCTTTTTCCTTTTCGGTGGTCACACGTGGCTAAAAAATGAGTAAACAAAAGAATAATAAGACCAATAAATTAAACAACCGGGACTTTTAAAATGCAGTTTCCGCCCAGTTCCTCGATCTTTGACTTGATAGATTCAATACTTTTATTCATCGACTCGATCGCGCCTTCGACATTAGAAGACAAAGTGGTAACATAATATGTGGGTGGACAAGTCAAAGTGATCTGGTTAAGAAAGATGGATGATAAACTCGAGAGGAGAGAGGTTAAGCGAACCTACACTTATACTAATGTCCTCGGAAGACACAGCCATCCCTGCTTTTAGTGCAGCCTTGATAGAATCAACTCCTGGAAATACTTTAAGCTTAGTGGTAGTAGGAAGATTAACCATGCCAACCTTCGTAATTATAGCAGGTGACTTCAATGTCAGCGCGGATTTTCTGAGGATGAGATTTAAGATGGTGAATAATTTTAGTAATAAGTATATTTTTCACACTTTCGTTTATGTTACACTCATCGAAAAGTTGCGGTTTACTATAGTATTAAACAAGTTAGCAAGAAATAAAACAGCTTCTTAAAATTACTGCCCTACACTGTTGCCAACTTAAAAGCGTTGTACATATCGCCGTAAGTTTTCTGAAGTTTCCAAGCGGTTTCTTCATAAAGTTTCTCGGCATCACACGAAGCTACATCTGCAACGTTGCGGACTATTTGATTAACCTATTTTAGTTAAAAACAACTATAATTAAGTTAAAACGCAGAATTAAACAAAAATAACCAGTTTAGCTTTGAGATATCTTTCTTCAGCCTGAATTAAGTCAGAGGGATTAGCCCGACGTTTAGATAAGTCAATATAGCCTTACATAAAGTTTTAAAAGTAGCTTTTCTATAGTTTTAAAACTATAATAAACAAAAAGCAACCTTTGTTTTCATCTACGCGAAGAACGACAACTGCCTCGTTACGACCTACACGTATTAGTTTCTGAATGGAACGAATACGCCTCCTAGAGAGCTCCGAGTGCGGAATCATACCTTAGATATTTTATAAAATATATACTTTCAAATATAACAACTAGCACCCAAAAGAAAAGAATAAATTATAGTAACCTTCGATATTATTGTATTCTAGCAATCTAACATACGCTCCCATATCTTCAGATATTAAAAATAAATTAAATATATAATTCAACAACAACAAAAAATATAGATACTGTAGAGATAGCGATATACACCCTATAGAATAAATATTAATTCATAAACTTCAAAAAATGGAGCATACGACCTTGAATAGATTCTACCCGTACAATTACTACATCCCCAACGTTGGGATACTTCTGCTCGTAGAATCTGACGGACTGAACCATTATTTTTTAAAAAAACTATAAAAACTATTTTTATTGTATGAGAGTACCCTTGTAACTAAGCAAAACCAGATAGATAAAGAAGTACACAATTAGCGAGTGTTAAGTAATAACGAGTTTTTTATTACACGTGGCCTGCTGATGTATAATTTAGGTAAGTCATGTTCTTAAGATTTTATTTTTAAAAGCAACCACTAATCTTTATATGCGGTATAAATGACATCAAAAATTTGACAGTGTTGTGAAACATTAGTAAAAGGTTTGTCTACACGAGCATTTTTGTTTTGAAAAATGCCTTACCGGTTTCCCACAAAATTGTTACTGCCCCCTTTAGTTAGTGCTTTAAGATAATATTCACTGCGTTATCGCTTATACTAAATTTAGGAAATTAATGACGTTTGGATATCTAATACATTCACCACCGCTTTTGCTCAAAAGTGGAGTGCTTTTTTCATTTCTTATTACCACTTAAAAAAAATTAATACCAAAGTAATAATAACTAAAAAATGCAAAAAGGGTTTTTTATTAAAATTGTAAAGAAAATTGTTACAACTTAAGAAAAATAAAACTTTCTAGTTTTTTTATATGTAAAGTAGATTAATCAAAAACCAGGTTTAAAACAATCTCTAGTAGAATCCTGCGTGTTTTACTCTATAGAAGAGTACTATTTATCTACAATCTCCTCATGCATAGATGGTTTGAGGATACTAGCCAATAATATACAGATCAAATAAGAACAATGGTCTCTTTAGCTTTTGGTTACAAGGATATAGCAACTAAGAAATTTAGAAAGAAATCCGTTATAAAACTGGTGGGGAAGAAGGGAGTCTAGGCCAGGAAAATCAATGATCCCATCTACCTTTGAAAAATCAATCCGTGCTCCCCCAGTACATTGCACTCAATCCGTCGAGACTAACTCATTAACTCTATGAAGAAAAGCGGTCAGTTGAGTGCGTTAAATTAGTTATAAAGGTACACAGGTTCGACTTGAGACGCCGTATATCAAGGCAGGTAACATTCCCCGCGAGGCAAAGTTCGACAAAGCACTACCCTTCTACCGTAATTAATAAATCGTTTAATTGATTCAAAGGATGTTTGGCATTTTGCAATTTGGTATATTTTTTACTGTTAGAATAAGGAAGCTAAAAACAAAATGTATGTCTACCCTCCAAGAAGCGCTCTTCAAAAGTTTTCAGATGTAAGGTTTTTTAAAGAAATAATATTGCGTACTTTTTGAAAATCTATATATATTGATAAGATAACGCAAATAACAAAGCTTGAGGGTGCCTATACGGCCATATGCTGTTACAACCTCCAGCTTTAAAGCGGTGAATGCCAGTAACATTTTCAACTTAAACACCAGTTATTGAAACCGAAACGGCCTCTAGGAAGGTGTTACCAGGTTAGCGGGATATTTCCTAAAAACATAATTAGTATGTTGCTAAAAAGTTCATAGAGGTTTCAATTTTTAAAAAGTGGCGTCATAATGCTAGGGCCCTTACAAATCAACCCACAGCTCCAATGAACCACACGTTTATGTAAATAAAAATATATTTCCTACAATAATCAAGGTTAATATCGAAGCTTTACATAAATAGAGTATGTACTCTACTAAACGCTGGAAGTCAAATTCTACGTTTAGAGGCAGTTAGGACTCGAATACCTTTATAAATGGTGTCCCGCCCCTTCAAGGTGAGCGTTCATTATTTGGCCTATTGAAATATCTAACAAAGCGGAAGCCAATACAGAAGAACTTAATAGAACTTAATATCATTGTTTTAGGCCCTGTTTCTGGTTTAATATATAAATTAATTACACCTTGATTGAGTGTTGTTATAAATCAGCAGTTAATATCGTTAACGCGTAAACTCCAGCTCATAGGTTCGATTCTCGCAAACCCTTCTTTTTTAGGTCTTTGATGGTTGCGTATTTAATTTCCCCCTTTCAAATTCTGATATATCTTTGTTCTAACACAACCCACTGTTGAAATTAGTCATACTTTAGGAGAAAATAAATTGTTAAAGGTGTTCATATAATAGTAACATGAAGGATAGCCTTCTAATTGTAGCTTTGTAGTAACAGATCTTTTAGAAAAGCAATTAACATTTCACGCCTGTAACATTGTTTTATTATTTAAGATTGGGAACCAAACGGCAATATTACAAAAAAATGAAAAAGATGATAGCATAATTTTTAATATAAACGTTGAAAAACTATTTTTATTCTTATTTATCCCAGGCCCGTGGCGTGCATTTTTCCTTTGTGGCCCAAGTCATCTGCGGAGTTGTAACATATTCTATAATACTATGAATTGTAATATTTTTAAGTCAGATGCGCTTGTGCTGAAATGCATAGTTAGGCTAAGTAAACAGTATTCTTGCATAACAGGCAGAGGTTCCACACACAAAGTTATTCCTATTGCTTCACAGAACTTAACAAAAGTCCCAAAAAAAATTGATTTTATTTATAGCTTTTCCATACAGCAAGATCAACGAAACTGTATGAATATCTTCTGGTTATTAATGATTTATACTATATTTTTTCGATACTCTAAGGCAATTCTTTTAATAATTTTTAATTTTTAATTAGTTTGACAATTAGAGTAGGATATACGTTAAACTATCAAGCACCAATTAGTAATTAAGAACCAAAAAAGGCAATTTTTTTTTCCAACTCTATAAAACATAAAAAAATGAAGCAGGGGAAGAATTATATTGTATTATCGGGTTTGCTTTAAGGTAAGCACGAGTTCTATTACCTGATTTCTCAAATTTAATTAATCAATAATCTTGACGGAAAAGTGTATTAAATATGTCAGGTCATTTCCTCAAAACTTCAAAATTTAAAATCTCCCTTTAAAAACTTAACTTTATAAACTGGTAACTCCTTTTTTTCCTTTGAAACAAAAACCTTTTATAAGGTAATTAAATTATGTTGACTTGACTATAATAATTAAAGAAGAAATGGTTTTAAATAACTGGGTTGCATATCCATTGCACGGCGTGGCTTATAGGTGCGGTCCAACTACGAAAAATAAAGACCGCCTAACTTGCATGAATAAATTAGTTCATCTTGAGGTAAATGTAAAATTAGACTATGTGTGAAAAGTCCAAAGGAACCAATAAATGTCTATAATAGCTTTCTTTTATTATAATCCCTCTATTTACCTTTGCGCTAAGCGGACAACCTACCATATATTATAGCTAATAAAAAATATGGAATTAATTCTTTAACAAAGAACATTTGTAATCAATAAAAAAAACAAATTGTAAAAGTTAAAAGCTTTGTACGCTTACAAAATATATTAAATAAATATTACGGTCGAAATTCTTATGGCGGTTTTAGAAAAAGTAAACCAAAAAATTCGATAAGTTATTAAATATGTCTTCAAGAGGAATTAACAAAGTATGGCCCATAACATATTCGCTAAATAAAGGTAAAGTTATAATTAAAGAATACATTATTTATACGCTCACTCTTTCGTTATCATACATAAGCAAGTAGCGAAAACACATAAAATTGTCATTTTGGTAATTTAATAACTCTTCTAGTTATACCTTTATAGAATTTAAGTTTATAACGAAACTTGCAAAAAAGTTATCACCTAATTTATTGTTTAATAATAAATTAATACTACTTAAATTCATAATCCGTAAGACGAGTACACTTATTACAAATTTTAAAGGGTACCAACAACTTCTTTAATAGTTTTACTTGGCATGCTATTCGCAAGCTCAGGCCAATTCTTAATTATATTAAGTTAACAGTACTGAGAAATGTGTTAAGGTAAAATTCGAACCCAAATTTCAAAAGATTTTAAAATTAAAATCCAAAAAGCCCTTTCTGGCATCCAATACAAATTACTGAAAAGCATGACTTACTTGTACGTATAATGCAAACTTAAAGCGAGCAAGCTTGAAAAAGACACAAGAACGGTCGGGAAGTGCAATGACCTAAACTCGTGACTTAGATTGGGCCACATTTTTGACTTATTTAAAAATTATATAAATAACATGGCCGAAAGGGCTGGGTGGCTTGGTAATGTCCTTCATAGGATTCAAGCAGGTGATGACGACGGGGGGCTCTCCGCTGCTCTCTTCTATTGCCCGGTGCGTGGAGGGGGTGGTTGGTTAAGCTATACGTGGTTGTCAGGCGCATTGCCTGAGGGGCCCACCCTAGCTCTGAACTTTTGGTAGACCATTTCGTTTGTCCTTCGGGCCTCTCTGCCGGTGGTGGGCTAGCGTTGTTCCTGTCCCCCCCTGCAGGTGGGTAAGAGGTCCTGGGGGTTTACTCTCCCTCTCATGGCAGGAGGTGTAGGGGTAGTGGGACGGCCGGGCGCAACTGAGCAGTCGGTTCTTTAATGCCCCTACTGGTGTGCCGTTGTGGGGTGAGTAGCGGGGAGGCCCGTTTTTTAACAGTTATGCGGAGAGCGTTGGGTATAAAACAACAGCGGCAGCGGCGGATATGTTGGTGCTTTTAGGGCTGGTGACTGTTGGGGCCTAACGATTATTAATGAAATCTCTTTGCGAATTTACCTAAAGCGCGTCCTCCTTTGGGTGTTGCAGCATCATAAGTGCCTGAAATTAGATAGGACCTATAGTCAAAGTGCGAGAGTACTATTTAAAATAGTTTTCAACGAGAACTGCTTGAAGTGGTCCTGACAGGGTGACGAACCGTCACGTTGAATGTCCATCCTTAACTATGAGAGCGAGTGACCACTACTGTTCTTGTGCTGGCAGTAACCCTCTGTGACGGCCTGCTTTTTTGGCTTAAACTGAACTTATTTATGGAGAAGACTTCACATTTTTTTTACTACAAAGGGATGATCAAACACAGTGGAGCTATGCGTAATGACTGCCGTCCTAGACAGTAGAAATTAAAGTCGTATTAAACCTCGAAGAGCTTTAAATTTGACTTGACGCACGAATCGTAAGACTTGCTCTTTACAACGGTAACACTTTACATGGACGGGAATGCCTGTTATAGATGCTAGTTTTTTCCCCGATCCATCTATGTAGTACTCTGGTTTAGTTCCTTTGTGGTGTT